CAGCGCTCTAAAGTCTCGAAATAAAAAAAAGTAAAAATAAAAAATAAAATAAAAAAAATCAGAATTTTCTGGGGAAATACTCTTAGCAGCCGCTGCACGGCAGCATTTCACCGCATGCAGCAGCAGTATGATGCGTGTTACGCTGTGGTGCAGGGAGGGGTGGAGGGGGGGGAAAGTTGTGGACATGTTTTCCTGGAAGTGCACGGTTTTGCGGATACAGTGTGCAACATTGTAACTACTGCGTTAAAAAGACTCCTGCTTCTCTGACGGGACTTTGGAGCGTATTTCCGTGTTGCTGTCAAACAGACTGGATCGCCTTTTTTTGTGCGAAGCGAAACTCGATGAGAACTTATCAGAGTTGTGACATTTGCTGCGCACAAACCCTCTATGGAGCTGCGCGCAGTCGACTTTGATCGAAACCAAACTGACTCCATGGAGCTGATCAGGGGGACGTCTGTGCACAATTGATCAGGTAAAATAAATCCTTTGGCTTTGATAATAATGCTCGCTGTCTAATAGCACACCGCTTCCTTATTGCTTGTTTGCAGCTGAACATTACTGGCTATCGCTCGGGTGATTGCAAGAGCCCCTTCGTTTCCTGTATTTCTTGTTAAGCCAAATGGCAGCTCCGCTCTGGAGGCGCCTCCTTGTTTTTAGCAACCCTGAAACTTCAGCTTGCAGATGTCTTCCCTGTACGCACCTGATCGCATGAATCCAAACAGGTTTAGTTTCCCTCTCTCTGCTCTGCTTTATAATTTCACTTTTCACACCAGGCCGTTTGGCTGGTGTAGGCCTCAGTTTCCTCTTTGCTGCTGGCGACTGTAAATAGGCTGTAATGTCTTTCCCCTATAATGCTATTTAATTATTTTTTTTAATGTTTTTATCTGTTTGTCTTTCTTCTAAAGGTCTAGCTCCCTGATGAAGTTAAAAAGATTGGACAGCAGACCTCAGATTTAATTGCTGAAAGAGGGCTGCATGTTCCCCACCCAGCACTTTCCTTTGGGATTTTATGTTTCCTCTCAGATACCTCTGTATACACAGTAAAAAAAAAAAAAAAAATCACGACTGTGGGCAGGGGCAGCACACTAAAGAGGCATATGCCAAATTTTGCACGCTCACTCATTCAGACGAAAAACATTTTCTAGTTTAGGAGACTGCTATGAGTCTTCCTTCTCAGGTAAACACTGACAAGAGCAAGCATCGGAGTCCAGCCATGAAAGAAGGAGTGCAACACACCGGGGAGGTTTATTATGGTATGGGACCTCCTGCTTCAAAGGTGAGCCATAGTGACTCTGCAAGCAGCTCTGGTGTTTATAACCCAGAGAAAGGGCACCAAAGTCTGCCACACTATCAGCAGGCATCTTCAGTAAAATGGATGCAGGACTCTTTACAGGCACCTGGGTGGACCCAGGAAGCTCCTGTCCCAACTTGGGGGCAGAACTTTGGCCAATACATGAGCGGTGTGAACGTCAGGGATCAGATGGCTTTCCATAAAGGAGTTCATGAAGGTGTAGCTATGCCGATGGGAGCGGAAAACCAGATGTCGGCACCTGTGGAAGTTTACAGAGATGCCCCCCAGGCTCAAACTCAGGGAAGGGGGCTTGAATGGGAGCAGCATGCCACTGCTGCTGTAATGCACCAAGCCCAGCTACAAGCCTATAGCCATAAAGGCGTGGATCTTCAGAGCCAATCCCATGTGCCATCCCACACAATGCAGGGGCCCATTCTGCAACCTTTCCAGGCCTCATTCAGACCGAACAAGCAGCAGTTTTCATCAGGTTATTACTCTGTCTTTCCAGCAAACAAGGGAATGATTTACGGAGAGCAGCCCAAAACTCAACAGCAACTAATGCATCAAATGCAGCAGCAACAAATACATCATCATCACCACCAGCAACAACAACAGCAGCAGCAACAGCAGCAACAACAACACATTCACCAGCAGCATCACATTCAGCTACAGCAACAGCAGCAACAGCATTTGCAGCAACAGCAGCAACACCAAATGCAGCAACAGCAGCAGCATATCCAGCAGCAGCAATTGCACCAAATACAGTATCACCAGCAACAGCTGCAGGAGCAACAGCAACTTCAGCAGATGCAGCAGCAGATGCAGCAACAGAATGTTCCACAGCCAGAAACAACACAACCTCAGGGACAAGCGAAGCTGCAGCAGCAAACCCAAAGTTTTGGAGCTTTTCCACCTCCTGAGCCTCTTCCACCTGATTCTGGAGTTAAAAAAGAAGATGTACAGCCAATGGAGTCACGACCAGAGGCTCAAACTTGTGATGCATCAGCATTACCTGCTGCATGCTCTGAAAAGGTTGGAGCTACAAATCCCTTAGATACTGTGGACTCAGCTTCCGGGGCCCCTCGACGCTCACGCCGCCTCTCCAGAGAGGGACAGTCCCCGCTGGGTCCTCCACCCGGGAACATGTGGTCCCAAGCTTCCAAAGAGCTACCACCACCACCACCACCACCCCAGAACGGAGTAGCTGGTGTCACAGGTGCAAAGGGAGCAGAAAGCCAAGCAGCAACAGGAGGGGTCATACAGATAACCCGCAGGAGGAGGAGGGCTTCCAAAGAGATCAACCTAGAAACTCTGGCTCAGAAGGCTTCAGAGATGGAGTCTCTACCTGCTAAAGCTGCCAAGGTAAAAAAAAAAACAACAAAACATTTACAATGTTTTTGTACTAAATGTTATTTATTCATGACTGAAAACATAATTATAATTTTATATTAAATTAAATGCAATAATTTTATATTAAATAAACGAAAAAGTCTGGAAATTTTGATCCTCAGTTTTCTACAAGTGTAAAAAGGTACATTTTTAATCACCTAGTATTTATTGGCAGGTCCAAATCGAGTTTTAGAATGGCTTTTCTTCAACAGTGGAGTCTTGCGGAGTGAGTGTTCTAGTTACTTCTGTTCTGTCTATTACTACTGTTCAATGAAACGACTGTAGGTCCAGGTTATTTTTTTTTTTATACAGTCTGTAAGGGGTGTCCTAAACCCTTAAAGGAGCATAGTGCATCTTCCAGAGTATTTTCAAAAGTCCGCCCCCTCTGGTGACAATGATATCGATATTGTGGACCCACATGGGTGAAGAGAAAATTGCATCAAAGTCTGCCCCTGTGACCGCACAGGTCTTTTGTTTAAAGGCATATTATCATCTGTGGTGAGAAAATTAATAAATATTAAAGTCATTTCAATATGTATTTTTTAGCTTATCTTGGCATTGTAGCTTTTTAGCAAAAAGAGACCCAAATCAGGGTCACTACAGAGTTAAATCAGTCGACTGGACTGCAATTTTTGCCATTAATCTCACCCCAGAAAAAAAAAAAAACGTTTATTTTCCTAGTCTTGTGTTGAGCCTGTGATGGGGTTGTGACTGGCCTTTGTGATCCATCTCAAAACACAAAACAGTCGCCCATGTTCTATCGCTAGAGTGTTTATGACAACAGAGACTCAACAAAGTAGGTGAACTAGAGCACATCCCCATAACCTTAATCACTCCGGTTTGCTAACTGAGTGAGCCTTGAGAAGCAACTGCAGTAAATAGAGGTAAGCTCATTTTACATGTCTGGTAATTGTGAGGGCATGTATGAGAAAGAAAACGTATTTAACTTTTCAGCTTGCTCAATGCACCTCTAAAAAGCCCTTCTGATTAGTCCTTTGTGACTATGTCAGAAATGATGTGAGCGGGACCTTTTCATCCCTGGTTTATTGTGAAATTATGTTCTTAAAACTCTTAAAATACAGGCCTTACCGTGCTCACTGCAGCACTGAGGAGCTTCGAACTGTATATCTAATGCTAATGCATGTATGTGATGCTTAAATTTTGGTCTACAAAAGTAAAGCTGTGAAGAATTTGAGAGAGCTCTTTGTTATCAGATTTTTTTTAGATTCTTCTACTTTTGTTTTGGGAAACCTTTTTAAAAGGCATTAATTAGGGTTAAACCACCGCACATTAATTAGTATCAACTAAATGTCAGATTACCTTGCTGAATTGCGTCACATTGAATCTATTTTCTTAGCTCTCTCTGCGTTGTTGCGTGTTCTTTTATTCCTGCACTTTTCAAAAATCATCTAGAATTTATTCAGGGTTTTTGCATAGTTTTAAAAACTATCTTAAAATCCATTAACTGAATTTCGAAGCCTTAAAATGTCAATCATATGTCTTGAAACCATTTAATCCAATTTTAATGTTTAGGACATTGAAATCAACACATTCTTTTCACTTTATCCCTTCCCACCTCCACAGGTAATTTGTACATTTAAGAAAGTCATACTTGGAAATAGACAGATTTATGGCAATCTTAGTGTCATATTCTATTAAGGTGCAAAACGAAACGAGTCTGGTCAAATAACAGCAATAAACTGCATGATTATATTCAATTGCCAGTTTTTTTGTTTTTTTTTGGATAATTCTTGTATTTCTCAAATTCAAATGGGAATGGCCTAAAATAGAGCTGCATGGTGGCAGCCCTGTTGCCTCCGGGTTCGATTTCCGGCCTGGGGTTTTTCTGCTTGGAGTTTGCATGTTCTCCCTGTGCATGTGTGGGTTCTCTCTGGGTATTCTGGCTTCCTCCCACAGTCCAAATACATGACTGTTGGCTTAATTGGCTTGTGCATGTGCGCATGAATGGTTTTGTATCCAGGGTGTATCCTGCTTCTCGCCCATTTACAGCTGGGGATAGGCACTAGCATCCCTCTCAACCCCAGCAGGGAGAAGCGTGATAGAAAAGAGATGGATGGTTAAAAATATCAAAAGTCCTAAATTTAACACACTGAAATTAAAAGAACCCAGCTAAGCATATCATTAAAATTATGTGATAATTTATTTGTGTGTGGATCATATTAGTCGTTACACCATTTCAAGTTAATTCAACCATTAGAAAGATGTTCCTTTATTTGCATTTGACAGGCATTTATGCATTCTGACTAACTAATGAGGATATAACAAAGCATGTAATATCCAAGCAATCAATAAGCTGCCTCGACTGCTTGTCTGGTTGTGTCAAAGGTGACGGTATAGAAAAGAAGTTGCTGACTAATGGAAAGTGCAGCAGAGACAATAGGGAAGAACAGGGGTAGGTCCAGGTAGGCGATGCTCTCCAGTCAGCTGGGTTTTCAAGGTTTCTTAATCGTAGACAAGGACATACTGTTTTGGCCGTGCTCAGTAGACCATTCCACCACTGCATGAAAAAAGTCAAGATTGTCTTGAGCTTAGAGTTGCCGCCGCTCACCAACAATCCCTTAACAACCAGTGTGACTGAGTCAGACAAATGGGAAATCATTCAAATTGATCAGAGTCCCTCTGATAAACATTTTGCAGAAAGAGCTGGTTGATAGGTCTGGCCCGATACGTCTCCAAGAAGCAGCACGTATTTTCCCTGTTTTATATATTTGCTTTTGTTTAGGAGGTATAGCAAATGTAGCTTAATCACCAAGTGAAAGCATTTTTTTTCATCTATCAAGGTTGGCAAACAGCTATATAAAGAGGAAGAGCTTTGTTTCTATGCATAACTTCCCTATGGTTTTACAAAACTCCTCCAGCTGTTCAGTTTCAGCTCTCTTTTAAAAGAGGCTAAGCAGTTTATGATTGTGGACCACATTCTGTTGCAGCATTAAGTGGTCCAATAAGCTCTGCTGTACAGTAGATTTAACCCGCACTGAGGGTGTTATCTTTGCAAGACACATGATACTGTCCCAGTTCAGGATTGATTGTGTTTACCCAGTAGATGCTGCGCCCTCTTAGACATTATTCGTTGCAGCTCCTTTGACACAGACTGTCAATACATAAACATAAGTGCAGAAAGTTCTCTTGCCTTGAGTGGTTTGTTAAAGGTTTGAGTGCTGAGCTTGTAGCGTGATGTGCAGTTGGAGTGGCTGCATGTCTGCACACCTCCACATTCCTCAGGCTGTCTGCCAGTCAGTCATTGGGAGGCAGGGAGGGGCTGAGCTGTCAACGTCCGCGGCCATTCTCCCATTCTCCCCAAACTGGTTTGGTGCAACTAATATGCAAGCCGGAGCTGTTCTCTGTTTTTCTTTTTTTTTTTTTTTTATGGTTGGGAAGTTGTCTGTTTCTTGATTTGGAGCAATGCCTTTCATGCTGCCTCTGTTAATGAACACCCTGACGCGATTTGTAGCTTTCAGTTCCTCACTTAAAATCTTGGATCAGTGTACAAAAAAAAAAACACAAACTATGAGATAATGAAATGTTATTATCTGAAGCCCTGTAGAAATATGTAGATCTGCAAAAACACAACAGAAAGTATGAAACTTGTCTTACATTTGGCTTTTGAATCCAAAAGCATGCAGCTGAGATACAGCTGTGTATTTTAACAGTTCAAACTTCTTATTGTGTATTTTTATTTTTGCTTTAACCTGACAATGTATGACTTGAAGTTCATTGATATTCAAATAATTTTTGCTGTTGCAGCACATAGTGAGATGATACAGACTCTCACCTCCTTCCCCTTTTATTTGTCACTCTCTTTTTTCCATATTCCCCCTACCTTTTTTTTGCCTGACTGCTGTATTTCCTCTCCTCTTCTTTTTCTTCTCTTTTTTTTTTTTTTTTGTTTTCTCCACACTCCGCAGGAGGACGCCCCCTCGACCATTGTGCCCCTGGTTATTCCAGTGTCTGTGCCTGTGCACAAGAACCAGGCTGAGTCTCAGGACGGCTGGGCTCAGGGTCGCATCAGCCACAGTGAGCGCCCAGCAGGCCAAGCGGATCGGAAGCCCTCTGTGATCGTGGCTCGGCGGCGTTCGCTCAGAAACTCGATGACTGAAAGTTTTGGCCAGGTTAGTTTCTTTTTTTGGACTTTTGCACAGCTTTCATGTTCTTTACCCTTTTTAAGATGGTATGCCTGGTTGCCTTACGGTGTTAGGATAGAATTGCATGATAAGTATCTTATACACATCAGCTTCAGATCATCAATAAAAGTTCACATCAGAAAAATTATTTGATTTATTGAAAGTAAGGAAATTATCCAAACCAGCTTGGCTATATGTAATAATTATTAGGCCACTACTGGTGAAGGAAATCCCATCCATTGTAGCCGATGTTACAGCCGCAAAAGAAAACAACAGGAACACACTGGTGCAAGGCGCATTTTTTCAAATTGATGAGGAGGAGCTTGAGAGAGTCGTATAGATGCTTTATATATGTTAAAAGTTGTATCATACAGACATGCATGTTTTCTCACTGCCTCACACTTTCCATCCCATATCACTGTGCTGATTTCCACACCTATAATAAAGTGGGGGATTTTCAACCAGAAAACAAAAGGAGAAAAAAAATCCCCCTTTTCATATTTAGAAACACCTGTCCTTTTATTGACCAATTGCACAACTTTTCTTGGACACATTGCAAGAAAAAAAGTCTCCCACAGCCCGGGAGAAGGCTGTGCGACCCAGTTCCAGATTGATGGAGGTCAACTACTTTGATCCTCCTATGTTCTTGAATTTCAGCTGTTCAAAATGATATTAATTTTGGAGATCTTTTAGCACATCTCATGATGTAAGACGGACTTCATTTAATAAATTTCATCCATTGACCAGACCGAGGTCAGGCTAGTTAAATTTATCTTGTTTTCCCAGGAAATTAAATGTAGTTTCAACTCTTTTTCATCAGGTTGGTTTAGAGTTTAGAAATATTTTTTTTTTATTGAATAAAGGAAATCTTAATGTACTAATTACTTAAATACTTAATTATAATATAAGAAATTGTTTTGATGTAAAGAACAAGGTGTTAAACCTCATTTGTTTGATCTGTATCATTTACATTTGACAAAAAAGCAAAAATTATTGTTAGTTGAAATTTATTTTTTTTTTTATAAAGATTACTATAAGATTACTATATATTGTGTTATTAAGCATTTAGCAGTCCAAATGGAGTACAGTTTATTCATTAGAGTTATTCCACCCAATTAGAGTAGCATCATAAACCCTAAGGTTCTGTCAGCTCACTAAAGTGGTCCAGCACTAAAAATGTTTTACCATCATCAGCTGGGATATGCTGCAAAGCAATATCTAAACTTTCTGTTAAGTAATGCGTTTCACTTTAACCCTTTAAAGCCAAGTGAATCACATTTAATACATGAGTTTTTAAGACTTCTGTATCATAATTGGGATGTTTGTGTGCTTGAAAACCCAGACTTACCCAATCAGACACATGTAGTGAACAGAAAATGTGTAAAAAATGATATAGAAATGCTTAATGTATCAAAATTGATGCAAATCAATGCTCTAATTTAACTTATTCAAAAAGTATACATTTTGTATTTAATTTGTCAGAAAGTTACTTGACAACTCTAATAAAAGAAATAGAATTTTCTGTCAATTATTTTTCACAATCCACAGTTAATTTCAGATAAAAAAAATTAAGGGCAAAGCTTTGCAGAAATATTACTGACTAATACTAACCCAGTTTAATTTGTTCATTTTATGTGACAAAAATAAGCTTACATCAGACATTAAAAAGTCTTTATACAATTATGGAGTAAAAGGTAGTGCTCGAAAAAGTTCAATCAAAATATCTGTTAACCTTAAGGCAGTAGGCTGGTGGATTAGCACCAATTTTTATTTAATCCTACACCCACAGCAATAGACTATTGAAAACCATTTAGCAGTTTGTTTGTGTCTTTGTTGTCATTATTCTTTTTGTATTTGACATCACATCTTCAGCGTGAGGCGTAATAATGAAACTGCTCTTTTATTATTGGATACCAGACCTACACTGAAGCGTTGGTCATTTTTAACAGTATTTATAGAACTTTAATGTAAATTCAAACCTACCAGTTGTTTAATATTTAGTGTAAGGACCAGTCAACCAAGCATAGATTTTGAGTTCACGCATTTATTGGCTAAGATGCTAAATACAGCAATAGAACTGGGTGCTGAGTATTGCAACACCTACACTTTACTTTCTATGGTGTCATTGTGATATTTTGAGCCCTTCTTTCATGGGCAAAAAGACTTTAATATTGTAAAATGCTATTTTAGTTCTTAGTTTGAGAACATTCTTCCCAGGCTGCAAGTTCTGGTGATGTTTTTATATATTTAATTTTCAAAATGGTGAACTATTGAACATATTTCACAGAGATGGCTACTGTCCCTCTTTTTCGAGGTTTCACTTCTGCCTCCAAACTCTACAAATGAAGGCTTAGTCACAGATACTCTTGCTACAAAAGTTAGGGAAGCAGTTTTTTCTCTTTATAGGACACTTAAAGATATAAACTTTAAGATCTGCCACTTTCCCTCATTATTCCAGGATGGGGAAAGCGATTCAGGAATGGATGAAGACGGAAAGGCTAAGTTCAAGCGCCGGACTCGTCCTGAGCCCCTCATTATCCCGCCTCCCAAAGTATCCAACTTTATCCCCCCGTCCCTCTACTCAAGCATCACCTCCTACCAGAGCAACCTGCGCTCACCAGTCCGCCTGCCAGACAACCTGCACGCCCTGCCCCCTTACACGCCCCCTCCCATCCTCTCACCTGTCAGAGGGGGATCAGGGCTCTACTTCTCCACCTTCCTCACCAACATAGCCGTAAGCAACCAGATCCTTCCGCCTCCGGCTACTCCAAAGTCTGCAACGCGTAGCCTCTTACGGTCCAGTAAGTCTCACATGACTTTTGCCAGTTATTTTTTTTTATTTTTATTTTTTCCAATAATGCCTTAGTTTTTCTTTTCTTTTTGCATTTCTTAGCCAGCTCAGAAATCACACCTCCAGTCTTGCCTTTGATCACTGATGCCACACCTGTGTGCCTTGAACCGTGAGCATCACAGATTTGAACAGATTTCTTACTTATCTTTTATTCTCAGCGTTGCTCACATTTCTATCTCTTTTTGTTTTGTGTTGGGGTCCAGCCGTATCAATATCGGGCAACAGTACCAGGCAGAAATACCTGATTTAAAAGATCAGCTGTCCTCTCACTTGGATCAGCATAAGGCCGAGTTGGTCTGGCTTCCTTTGAATAACCTCAACCAAAAACAAAGCGACGAGGAGACCAGTAGGTTTCTGTCACAGACTAATTTCAGTCATTTCTGAGCTTCTCTCCCCTAATTTACATGTTCTTATTTTAGTAGAGCATTTTATGAACCTGGCGTGTTCGAGTGTTTTTAGTGGAGGAGGGACCAATCAGGAGCTGGTTTTGCACTGTTTACATGAGGGTGGAGGCAAAATTCTTGTAAGTAAAGAGACCAGATGTGATTTATTTTAGTTCAATATCTGCATGTTTTATTTTTCATTAACTTTGCTTGATATTAAGGAAACACTGGAGCGTTTGATGCTTCAAGACCCAATTTTCCCCAAAGGCCATCACCTGGCAAGTTATCACTACTCAGGTGAAAAAGCTGCATCACCTTCCAGACATTATCCTCACATCCATCTCTTCATCTTTATTTTATTGCTAGGTTTAAATTTCATTCTATTTTTTTTTTTTACTTTTCTCCCAGGCTCTGACAGCTGGACAGCAGAGGAGAAATGTTACTTCAACAAAGGGATCTCTGCCTACAGGAAGGACTTCTTCTTGGTCCAGCAATTGGTAAGGATGATGCCTTTTGAGTCATTTTTTTCTTTTTCACCACAATACTAATAATAATCCTATTTATATTTCTCAATTTAACAGGTGAAATAAATTTTGCATGATTTATGTTAGTCAGGTATGATAGAAATCATTACTTTGCAGACAGGAAGAGATTCTTTTTCAAGTTCCTTTCAGTTCAAAGAGAAGAAAATCAGAGTGAATAAATCACATCCTCTTCACAGCAGGAAGTCTGGGTTACAGAATCATAACAATAGCTGTGGCATGTGCCGGTGTGTTACAGTATCCAGCCTGAAAGAATCTTGAATTTATAAATTATTTGAATTTTAATATTATTATTCATTTGTCAACTTTCGCTGTATACTTCAATCCCTTATTCTGCTAATTTTATTAATCCCGTTATTAAAGGTGCCTTCTTTAAACTCTGAAAACTGAATACACTCATGTCTAAATATGTGTGAGAAAATTATTACTTATGTGAAGGTACCCTGGATTTACTCTCCAATAAGGCTTAAACTAATAATTGAGATTGTAATGATAATCACCTAATTTATTTGGTTAACAATCGCTAACTGGAATATAGACTCTAACATATGGCATGAACTGAAAGAACAAATTCAGAGCAGTAATTAAGCCAAAACTTTATGAAATATTTGATGAAAACTAAACTGTAAATATCCTCCATTCAGACTTTATTTAGATTTTTTTTTCTATACATGTTTTTTGCCATTTACAATGAATTCATAATTTCCAATCATGTTTGTTTTGCTTTCTTACTATGTTCAAAGACTTGTTTGAGGTTTGTTAACAAGCTAAGAGTATCTCTTGTAGAAAACAGTGATTATTTTTTTGGTTGATTGATAGTTGCAACCATTGTCTTTTACCATAAATGCCAATATAAGCCTTTCCTATTGAAATTTGTTCTAAACCTCTCCAGAGGAGAACCTAATTTTTAATTTATAGAGTTTTTTGTTAACTTAATGTTTTTAATTATTTTTTAATCCAAGCGTTTTTTTATTTATTTATTTATCAGGTGCGGACTAAGACTGTGGCTCAGTGTGTGGAGTTCTACTATACGTATAAGAAGCAGGTGAAGGTCGGTCGAAATGGTATCTTAACCTTCGGCCCCCCAGATTCACCAGTGGAAAAGCACTCTGAGGCTGTGGTGGACGTTAAGGTAATGTCAAGGGAATAAGATGGGGATGAGGGTAGTTGAAATGATAAACTGATCCGAATGGAAAGAAAGCGAATGTTCAAAGTTAGTATTTATTTCTATGCTTAAAAAAAAAAAAAAAGAGTTATTTTATATTTAAAGATGAGCTAAATGTGGGGGTTTCCTCATTTTCAGATATTCTCTGAAAACAATGAATGAATACATTCTCCTGTTTGCCACTTAAAAACAATTTTTTTTAACCTTTTCACCTGGATTTTGTTCTGTCCTTTTTAAAGAAGTACTACAGACTAACTTATTAGCATTGAAGGTAAACATGCTATACAAGGATTAAAGAAGCACCAAAATCAATTATTTAGGTCAAGAGGATGGGAAAGTAGAAGTGATGAAAACTATGGAAAGTTAAAAAGAAGAACTGAAAATTATTGTACATGGGGGTTTAGACCTGATCATATTAATCCGTTTGAACATCACACACAATTTTCCCTTCCATTGACAGAGCTCACATCTGACAAAAGTAGCTCAAGGAGAGGCAAAAGAAGAAGAAGAAAAAAAGGAAGCTACTTTATACGATGAGGACAACGAAAGCAAGCAGCAGGCGAGGGTGGCCCAGTCACTACAGGCTCACGACTACGTAGTAAGTACTGAGCTTTGCTCTTTGTTTTAATAGTCGCCAGACTTTCTTGGTGCGGTCAACGCCCACATGTTATTGTTGCTTCAGACAGGAACAGTTCTGGTCATCAAAGAGCCAGAGCCTGTGAGTAAGGAGCCTCATCACTCATCAGTGCCTCACAGGCCTCGGGCTGAAGCTGCTGCGAAGAAGGCCAAAGCTCCAACGAAGCCCCCGCAGGACCCCAATGAAGTGTTTCCATGCAAGAAATGTGGCAGGTATGGCCGTTTTTTAGTCAGCCAGACCGATCCCTGTGGTGTTTGTATTTTTATATTTGTTTAACTTTGTTAAAAATATTTCCTTTGGCACCATTTCAGATCAGATTACAACCGCTCCATAGCTTCCAGGGTCTCTAAAATTATTTGAAAGTTTGAAAGTTTTGTGGAACAAACCTGGCCATATTTGTGACTGACACAAAGGATCTTCTTGGTTAATTTTAAACCATCTTATCTCAGTTCTAATAGAATCAGTGTTTCTGCACGCTATTATAGCGTCTGGATGTCCTCAATAAATCAGCCATGCTTTCCTTTGTGGTGCGTTCACACCAAGCTCATTTTCAGTGCATGGAGCGATTTGTTTACATGTCATCTTTATTCAAAGGTGCATTCAGGAGCGCTGCGGTGCAAAGTGATACAATGGTCTGCTCCTAGTGACTCGACAGGCAGGATTATGGTAATAGTTGCTGGAGTTGGAAATGTGAATTTTTTGGCAATGGACGTGTCTGTAATGTAGAGTGAGGAGCGCAGCAGTAATGAGCGTTTTTTTAATCGACAAGGAAAATAGAGATGTTGACAGATGATGAAGTAAGGAATGCTTTTAAGAGATTTTTGGGTGCTTGTTTTGATTTAGCCCTTAAAAGGACTGCTATACCCCTTTCCCAACTGCTTAAAAACCTGTTTAAAATGGGAACATTGGCTTTTTGTGGCAGTAGGAACAGCTCAGTGACCCATGTCTACCTTGGTCAAACGACTAGGCAAGCGACCCGAGTTAAAATATCCTCGGCTCTGATCGGCATGCCTCAGGACCTTCAGAACAGGGTCGATCTGCTAATTTACATGATACCATTGAGAGCAAAGAATGGACATCAAAATTTAGCACCAACCACCTATGATCTAACAAGCCAAAACAGCTTTGCTTTCATCCTGTAAACATGGCGTAGAACTAGATAAAGGGGAATTGGACAGATAAAAGAGCAAAACGATTAAGCACATTTTCTAAGTCCTCCTTACATGTTGCTCTCTGTTGTTTACTTTCCTGATTTCTGTCGCACTGCTTACATCATCAACGTTAAACCAGCTTGATAACACCACCAGACACGCAGTCGTTGGCTTTTTTTGCCAATGGTGAGGGAGCCAAATGTCGATGGCTAGCCAATCGAACAGTGTTTGAAAAAGAAGCTTTAAATCAATCTTCATTCATCTTCCTGTTGAAGCTCCAGAACTCGTCCCAGCCCCCCACCGCATCTCCCCGACGACTTACTCCGACGTCCTCCTGAACCCTCCCACTGTCCTCCCTTAGCTCCAGAGTACGGCCAGCCTCCTCCTCATGTGTTTTGCTTTCGTCTGAGCTCCATAACACCTCCTCACCATACCCCTGTTGTCTAGTCGATCCTCCTCCAAAGCAGGATAGTTTAAGGACCTGGTCAAAGGGAAGTAACATGACCCTGAGCCAGTTGTTACTCTTGAACTCTCCAAACTAGGAGGATCATTAGAGAATCTGATGGACCTTGAACCTTTGCTTAGCTTTCCATGAGCATCATGATCTGCTCGCTAAAATCTAGGTCTGACATGCTGTGTTGAAACCAGGAAGCAGCAGATAGAAGCTCCTTGTATTTGATGAGGCAATGATGCGATGGAAGTGGAGCTCGTCCCCCACCACTCTAATTGCTGGCAAGACGTCAAGTTTGAACGCACTATTAGATACACCAGGTTTCTGCTTTGCCATCCGCTTCAGTTTTGGTTTGGCGGAGGCTTCTGTATAACTTGCTGTGAACCTCGAACATCCAATCTAATGATCGGTAAGGTTGACCAGTATTTCAAGTTCTGAAACCTGGATGTGTTTGCTTATGAGTTTCAACATGACTATTTATAATCTCTGAACCCGATGAGCCATGAGGGCGATTTCCACAGTCTTTCTCCTACATCATCACTTGCTGCCTTTTAATGGCTTCCTTTGGAAAGTATGACAAATATATTTGACTCTTTATCTGAAGCCCAAATATAAACATTTTCCTTTGCTCAGGCAGAAGCAACCTAATGATGTAATTTGGAGGTATGCGCTCTTCTCCCTTTTCATATTGTCACAGTTTATCTATGATATTTCATATTAGACACCGGGTTGATAGACTTCCTGGGAACTGCATATTATTGCAGAATTTCAGTTTGTGTCCTCAACCTTTCCTCTTGAAGATATATATAGATTAAAACATATAGTTTTGTATTCTTTACCCAATTAACAAGTTTGTTCTATATATTTCATAATATAATGTTGTAGTATGACAGTGTAGTAAAAAAAGATCCTGTAACAATGCATAAATAAGGACAAAAGTCACGGTTTGTGTAACAAATCTGGCCAATTATGCTGACTATGAAAAAAAAATAAGTTTTTTTTTTCTTGCTCCTTCTCGATACCACTAGGTGTCACTCTAGAACAGCACTACTTTGTGGCAAATGTTGAAATATCCCATATTTCACAGATCATATAAAAAATATTTAATTAAGGAGGTTTACATTTTTTATTATTTTTAATAGTTTTTTTACATTTTATGTTATCAAAATATATTGATTAAGCTTGTAAAACCAATGTATTACATCACACTCACCATGATACGGATATTCATATATCAAAATATCATTTTGCTTATGAAAACTGAGAGTTTTGTTTTGAAATTGAAGAAAATGACAAGAGTATACCATAAAACCATATAATATTTTAATGTACAATCATGGGAAAACCCGTTCATATTGATGTTCTGTAATGACGGTCCAGCAAACCGGCATTAAGAACCTAGAAAAAGATTTATTGCCAAAGAACCTGGTTCTGTAGAAAGCTGTATTTCAACAGATTTCTTTGAAAAATTTGCACAAGGGGAGTCTGCCTTGCTCTCTAAAGCATACCGGAAGTTAATTTCCAAAGAAATGCAAAATATACTATCATCTCAAAAATGTATTTAGTTATGTGTTCATATTCTTATTGCTTGAGCACCAGTAATAACTGTAGCAGCATAATATTTTTTGTTACAGCTCTTTTTTCTATTAAACCTATATCAATATACATGCAAACAGCACTTAGTAAAAATCCACCTTCTCTAGTATTGACCTTTCGTTATCTTTCTGATTGTGAGGGGTGTCAAAAAATGTCTGCCTTCATCTGACTGTAATATAAAATCTATAAGTTGTATTATGTAGCATTTATGCTCATGTTTCTAATGTTTCCATTCACTAAAAGTCACAGTCCTGTTTACGCATTAGCTGCACGAGTTCTTATGCTTACAAAGTAAATAAACATGTAGCAAAGTTCACTTTATGCCTGTATGTTTAAGGCAAAGCACAGGCCAACAAAGAGCAGGCTTAAATTCCAAGTATCTTCATTTTACCTGAAACAGGAGGATTTTTTTCTGCGCAAAGTGTTAAATGTCAGTTTTCAAGCTTTAAGTGAATCTATCTTTCCTTATAGGGTGTTCCATAAAGTGAAGAGTCGAAGTGCCCACATGAAGAGCCACGCCGAGCAGGAGAAGAAGGCTGCAGCCCTGCGGCAGAAAGAGGAGGAGGAGAAAGCTGCAGCGCAGGCTCGAGCCAGAAAAGTGGCTGCCGCAGCAGCAGCGGCTGCAGCAGCTCATCAGGGGGGAGAGGGGGACGGAGCGGCACAGCAGGCGGAGCTCAGCAGCCAGGAGGACTCGTCCGAAGGGGAGGATGATGATGACGAGGACTGGCACTGAGTATAAACAAAACGGGGAAAAGACCCTTCTAAGCAGGGGGAAATTATGCAACCAGCCTGCAGAGATGAACAAAGAAATTGATTAAAGAGTTAAAATCAAAGTGCAACATTCAATGGGCAGAATAAGCACAAGAAATGGGTTTTTCGTGTCTTCCTGTTAATCTTTACACTGTTTTTCTTCTGTTTTTTACTAAAACTGTCTCTGTTTGGCTGACTTTCAGCTTCACACCGTCACACTCCGCGTTTGAATACTCAGAGTTTATTTTTTTGTAAAATGCACTTACAGTGTCTGTGCTTTTGCCGATATTGCCTTTTATATATTTTATTTAATTGCAAATTCATCAAACAATTTGACGTTTTCATTGCGTAAACAAAACTGTGTGAAAACGAGATCAGATAAATCTGTCCTCCATTAGCTGAAGCCCTTTTGACTTAACATTAAAGGGCTGGAATGTAAAAAAAAAAAAAAAAAACTAAAATGGGCTCAATTTAATACAGTTTTCCAGATTGTTAACTTTCTACTACACTTTATTTTTAAGATTTCTATTATACACATTTTTGAAATGAAAATGTAAAAAAATATATATTTATGATACAGCATTTGCAATGATCATCATAATATAAAATAATAATCATGTTGGCTTTGTTATGGAAAAAATGGAAAATATATATTAAAAAATTTATTGTTCTGAGAGGAACAGCTGTTTTCTTTGCATGAAGTCATCAGGTTGTCACTGCAGGTTCTTGTTGAAACACATGCTGACTGGGGTTTTCCTGTCAGTGTGAACCCGTGGCTCTTTGCATTTTTTCTCAGGAACATTGTGCACACCTCGGCTCACAGGTTGTTCCATTGATCTCTTTATCAATGAACCTTCTGCTCTTGAAAACAGTTGGAAAAGTTGCACACAAAAAAACTAAGCAGATCAAAAATTCTTCATGTTAATGCATGGAAAAGTATACTGATGAAACAAACTGCTAGACTTCAACCAATAAAATTGGTGTCACGATTCTAAATTATTTTGGGGAGATTTTAATTAACATTTCTAAGTACACGGCATTTACAGTGCTGATAAACATTTGGTCTGATAATGGATTTTTTTTCCATTAACAGACGGGTCATGTTTTAAATTTTATTTCATATCTGCTAACTTTAAATAAGTCAAATCTTATTTGAAATCATTGCTCTTTAAGAGTCACTCAGTGAGATTCATTGAGGTCTGATTTACCTTCAAAGGTTTTTAGTAGGCGAGGAGCAGGGAGTGTGGTTAACAGTCATTTGGGTGCCAACCACACTGAATGCATCTTTGCCGTGTTGTTAAATTCATAGTGGTTTAGTCATTTTGATATTTGTTATGAAAAACTATTAGTAAACTTTATGTACTTGTATGTTTCGGTCTTTTGCCCCTTCCGGAATGCTTTGTTTCTGCTAGGATTTGCTCCTAGTTTCTTTCCAGCCATATATCTGGGACTCACAGCAGGGGGCAGCAAGACTTCCTCTGTATGCAGAGAGAACCTGAAAAACCAAGTGTTCACCTGGGCCTACAGGCTCTACAACATGGATTCGATGGTATCTGGGTTAAAAAACAACCCCTTCTGCCTTCAAACAACCTGAGTTATTCATGTAGTTCTGGTACTGTATATTCCAGAATGCCTGTTGGATTATATCATCCTTATTCTGGTGGGGTAGATGTAGCAGCGAAGCACCCTCATAGTCACACACACAAAATTGGGGTAATTCAATAAAGGTTATTGAGAAACTTATGCACAAAAAAGTTAAATCTCTGAGGCCAGGGGAGGTGCTATTTTTTTCAGTGCCGTAAACCTAAATGTTTTTATGGTGTCACAGCCCCACCCCACGACGTAGAACACCTACTAGACATGATCAGTTGGAGTAGGCTTGTCAATCTATTAAGGTATTTGATTGTGATTAATAGCATAAATATCCTAAGCCTAAGGTATTGTGGAGGTTTTTTAGCAACTTTTTTAGAAGAACCACCCTTTCAACTTTAAAATAAAATACACATGCACAAAGCTGTACCCGCTCCTGAGAGGGAACGCCTATTAAACGCGTGTGAGAGCATGCACAAGCCCATTTCTCCTCGTGCACGCTCTGTTTAAATGCTGTTTTCATAGCTGCAAGCTTCTGTGTCCAAACGTCTGCTCTAACCTCTAAATCCCTCAATCACTATATAGAGCGGGGACTATATAGTGGACTTTATAGCAAACTCTGTTAACTTACCGTTCGGACTGATGATCACTGCTTTTTGCTCCCCCGTTGGTCACGTAACTCCACCGTGCAGTGTCTGCACAATCTTCCTCACAACGGGCCGCTGTGACAGCAAATCCTGTAATGCTTTGCGAGGAGAGCTCTCCATGCAAGTTGTTCTAGAATACATCTGCCTCTTTTGTCTTTTCTTCTCAGACACTTCTTCTCGTACCACCCTCGGCCATTTTCAATGAACCGCGTTGAGAAAGGTGAGCTTCAATGACTGTCTGAAACTAGCTCACCACAGATATATGCCAGAAAACTATAGCTAACGGAATTAGCACGTAGGACGGCCTTACATAAACATATTACCAGAATGATGGACAATTAGGAGGACCACTCATTTGGATGATCCACCCAGAAATAAAAGATTATCCTCTATACCTTTAACTCGAAATTATTCACAAATTAATCAAATATTTTCAGATTTTTTTTTTTTTTTTTTGTATTTGTAATATTAAATTCTGCATCAAAGTGGACATATATAGCTTTTTATGCAAATGTTTGTTTATAATTATGAAAGAGAACACCGAACATTACCAGGTAGAGGTAGACTTTTTTTTTTTTTAGGGGGGGGGGGGGGGGGCAAGGCCTTCACAGGCATGGCAGTTATTTGCTTCCCAGCCTTTTGCAATATGGATTACCATAAGTATCTTGCACTTTATAAACAATGTAACATAGATGCATCTATAAAAACAACTTGATACTTGTCAGTATGCAAATGTGTTTAATAATGGGTGGTTGAATATCTGCAAATCAGAAATGAAAAATAAAATACTATACAAGTGCAGCCCATTTACCATATAAAACATGGTTGGTGCAAAACAGTAGTTTTTAAAGATTTTAATATTCGTTTATTGTAACTTTTAATTATTAACTGTCTTTTTTCTGCTTACAAAAAAGTAACTCAATAAGCTTACTGAGTTACAGTTTGCTTAGCTATTTTTTGCTTTAAGTAATATTTTGCGCTGATAACATTACTTGTATATGAGTAAAGAATTGATTCAAGTTCATGTATTTTTGACTTGATTGATTTCTTTCATTCCCCCCCTCTTCCGTTTATTTCCATCTCAGCCGTTACTAAGGGGGGGTCCAGCTCCTCTGAATGAGCTGAATGGGAGAGGTGGCCGATGGCACCACGCCCACGCTGCAAGAAACATTTATAATTCCCAAAATTCTGCTGAACTAACCTGTAGGTTTAGTCAGATTTATGTGGCTAATTCAATGAATGTGCTTTTATCTTATATCAGGGAATGGCTGTCATTGATGAGCTAATGACTGTTACATTTTAATGAGACTCTTTTCAGAGGAATGCTCCACACTCAGGGGCAGTTACAACTCAATGAAACTTCGATCAACTCAGTGAACTTTATTGATGTGACAGCCCCCCCATTAAACAACACCCCTAAGTGTATGAATTCAGCATCTTTACAAAGTCAACTTTGTCTTCAGACTAATTTTCGAGCAGAAGCTGTACCGCAAAATAGGTTTAGTCTCGGATTTTAATGTGAGGCTTACCTGCTAAATCTTGTGCAGCGTGGATGGGAGGTGTGGATGTTCCTATCAACGTGTTCCCTTGTTAACCAAGTTGGAATTAAATTAACAATACTTTATCTGTTAAATCAAAGTTTCAGCAGTCCTAAAGTAGTTTTACCTGCATGATGCATACTGTAATCTTTTTTTTTTTTTTTTTACAGTACTCCGTGCTGAAGTAACTCTTGTGCAACAACAGACAGACAGTCCTTCTGTGCTGATTAACTTATCTTGATTCTGTTCTGCAGTAAACCTGATCTCACAGCATCCGAGGAGGTATTTTTGAGGTGAAAGGTCGATTATGAGTCATTTTAAATATAACAGCCATATACTTAGTGTTTTTTTGTGGATATTTTTCTGTGATTGACTATATATATATATATATATATATATATATATACATAAATAAAATGTAAGATGGTTTAAAAGACATTTTAATAAAAAATTTGGTAAGTGCGTCTTGCCCGTTGAGTCAATACTTTGTAGATCTGTATTTTGGTGTAATAACAGCTGCAAGTTTAGAGTATATTTATACCAGCTTTGCATGTCTGGAGATTAAAAAATATTTCGTTTTTCAAAAAATGTTGTCAAGCTCCAATGGAGAGTGTCTGGGAACAGCGATATTTCAGGTTTGCCAGAAATGTTAGTTAGGGTTGGACTTTGGCTGGCCTTTTCTGACACAAACAAATATCCTTGGATCTAAGACCCTTCCCCCTGTAGCTCTATGTTTAAAACTGCTTTCCTGTTGGATTGTATAATGCTGCTACAACAAAATCTCACTGTGGAAATACCTGTTTGCTTTGTTCTTGTTTGTAAGGTCTTTAACCCCAGTTTACCTTGTGGCTTTCTCTGTTTTTATGCTCACTTGCATAAAAGTCAGATTTGAAAGCCAATCGTTATTAAGTGAACAATTATATAAAACCTGAGCTGTGGATCTGTACAGCACCAACACAGTTACAACAGTCATTTTGACCTGATTAACTCTTTTCTTAACTGGCCTTTTAGTTTAAGATAGCAGCCATTTCATAGAACAGTGCTCTATGAAATGTTTAAGCTTATCTTTTTATCATTAACCTGCATTTAAGTTCTCCATAGCTCTATTTCAACCCATCTCTCGTATTTCTTGGTCTTTACTGAGGCTCTTATCTACTAATGTGCCGTAACAAACCGTTTGGTTCTGCACAGAAAAGCCATGTTTCTCAAACTGTGCAGAAGATGACCATCTGGAGCCATATGGTACCACTGAATGTTATTTAGTGGTTTCATGGTAAACTTTATGATTATATAAGACTTTGTGTTGTATGGGGTACAGAATAAAGAAGCATTTACCATGAGTAATAATAGGGACTTAAGGTGTCGTTTTCCATATTAAAAGGTCAGATGCAGCAGGAAATTTTTTTTAACAGCTTCCTTCGCTGTTAATACATACATTTAATGTCTCAGTTGTTTGAGATGGATTTGACAATGCAAGAAAAAGAAGAAGAATAAATATATGAAGACATTGAAAACCCAATAGGTTATTGAATACACAAGGTTCTCAAAACTTTTTTCGGTTTGCACAGTTCCGTTTTCTACTCTTAGGACTATTAGTTTAGAAAGTGTAAAATAGCGTTTCCTGCAAAGCAAGCTTTTGCAACAAAATAAGAGGGAATATTTTTAAATTAGGAAGGGCTTTTTATTTGAAGCATGTCAATTTCTTCGCAACCACTTTTCTTAATAACTGTTCTCCCATTTGCTATTTAGCTGTAGTCCGTAAGTTTGCAGTCCAATTAAGGTTCAGACCTTTCCAGAGGCTCATACTTTGAAAACCTAGTGTTCTGTTTGTTCTGTATCACCCAGTTGTGTGCAAGTTTCCTTCATCCAGCTGATGATTTGATAAAGTTATAAAGCAATAAAAAGGACAAATTAACACATGGTACTGTATGACTGATCTGATATCGGAACAGGGACTTTCTGAACCAGTGTTTTAAAACTACAATAGGATAAAATTGAAACAGAAATAAGAAGATTTTCCTTTCTTTTATCATTCTTAGGGAGCTCTTTATTGATAGAAAACAGACAGTTTGCTTACTTTAAACTTGTAAAGAAAAATATAAGTTCCCTTATTAAAGTAAGAAAAAAAAACAAAATTACATATTCAGTCATACATGTAGTACAGTGGCATATTTTTATACCCCTTTAACCTTTTCCACTCATTGGGAAATAATTTTATTTAAAAATTTGACAAATTTCAAGTGGGCTATAGATAAAGAAATAGTAATGCTTAATGTGAAGTGGAAGGAATATATATATATTTTAAAATATTAAAGAAAAAAGTTGAAAAAAGGTCAATTGTTTGCATTCAGTTCCCTAGACTCAACACTGTGTAAAACCACTTTTTTCTGTGAACCCTCAGTTTTTCGTGTAAAATAATCAGATTTATAATGAGCAATACATGTGAACATCAGGATTTAAAACAAAATTTCTAATTTAAATTCACAGTTACTTTGAAAGAGTCCATTTAACAGATTAACATACTTTAATTCGAAGTTCTGCACCAGCCTTTAAACTTCTTTTTTTCTCCAGAATTTTCCTATATTCTATATTTCTTACTTCTTAGCTCCCACATTTATTGTGTAGAGAAGAAAATCCAAAACATGATACTGCCTCCAATCTGTATGGCTGTGAGGATGGTACTGTTCTCCACACTAAGTCCATTCACCGGTTAAGAAAACTCTGAAAGTGAGTGGATGCCATCTATTTCGTTTCAAGGTATCATTGTTAAGGAATCTGTATATAGAGTTACATGACACTTTAAAAATTACAAAACAATTATTTTCCTTCTGCTTTAAAGGTATCTTTGGCTTGTGTTGATCCATCATAAACCATTCTGATAAAATACATTGTGAAGGAGTTGAGGAAAGCTTAAAATCTCTGTACTGGTTCCACTACACTTTCACTGCTTGTGTAAAAATCTGTCCGAATGGTCCCACTAAATGTCTTCTAATAATGAGTGCAGGTAAACCTTTAGCAACAGCTAGCAGCTCCGGCTTCGATTTTGCATCAGTGTGTTTCAGTCTGTTTGGTAGGTCTAGGGCAAAGGTTATCAATGCTTTCAGTAAAAACACAGTCTTTGGTATTTTGTAACACAAATTAATAGAACTGCATGATATTTGACCAACAAACCTTAAGGACATAGCTATAAAGTGGGGTTACTTTCAGGGTCTGGTAAAATGCTTTGTTGATCATTTATGTAATACAGTTCTGTATATTTTAATTCTACATAAAATTCTGGGATGTTAAAATGAAAAACTGAGTTATAAAATACATCTCTAATACATTATTTGAGTGCTGCGCTCTTAGCAAAACAAGCAATAAAAGTTAAAGATTGATAATAAATTAGCAATGATATGGAGCTGATCTGATTACATTTAGTTCTGTGTCCTTTTTTTATTATTTTGTAGAGAAATGAGAATGATTTCCTAATATGTTATTTGCCCTGAATTATCCATTAACAACCCCTAAAATCAAACATAAAAAAGGGAGGGGTTTCACATAATAATACTGAACACCCCCACTCAATGCTGACAGACAAGTCTGTTTTACCTTTGGCCTGCCACAAGGACGGCTCAGACTTTGGAACCAGGGCAGCATATCTTCCAGTCCCAAGCGGTCATATACTGTAAGACTGGAGGAGTATAAAAGCCCAAAAACAAAAGCTCAAGAATTAGTCTTCAGAGAAAGAGGGAGACTCTCTGTATCCTGCAGAAGCTGAACCCATCATGTGGGGTAACAAGCTCTGCCTTTTGCTGCTCCTGGGCACCTATACCCAAGCCCGTAAGTACATCTCTTTTCTGCTGCTAGTATTACATTTACATTGATCCCTGATTAGTAAATAAATAAGTCTAAAAATATTTGACATAGTGTTTTATATTGCTGTGCTTTTAAAAGTCAAATGGACACAGTGTTTGGTGCCTAATCTTTACTAAATAAAACAAGTTTTTTACCAAACGGATATTTAAGTACATAAGTTTTACCAGTTGAGCGTGAGCATGTTGACCTAACATTTGCAAAGTTAAACCCTTGTCTACTTTTTCAGAGCAAGATTTAGGAGGTTTGGAGGAACAATCAGTTTGCTTTTGTAAGTTTTCTTCTACATTTTTCTCTTTTGTTAATTTTGTCATCTAACACATTTAACAAAGAAACAAAAAAAGGGTTGAAGCTTTGAAAACCTTTAGTATCCTGAGGTATTTTTTTATGCTGTAATTTGAATAGTAGAAGGCTAAAAAAATAAGGCCTCATGCTGGCCTTTTCACCAAGAAAGGAGAGTAGAGGAAATAGATGTAAAATGAAAAAGATTATTCAGTGCCAATTTTTTTAAACACTGCTATAACTTACTTAAAAATGTAACAAGCTATGCTGAAGAGAGTGAGAGTTAAAATTCTGGAAACAATTGTACTTGTGTATTAAGATGTGGAACTATTTGAGAGACAAAACTGAAACATTCTCCCATAATTTATAATTGTAAGTAGTGATAATATAAATTTTTATTTCAATATAAATACAAGATTTTTTTGAAAACTTTACTTCAAAATCCCTTTTAAGTAATAAGGAAAATTATTAAAAATGTTTTTTTTATATATATATATATTTTTTTATTTGCACAGAACTGTATCAGGTATATAATATCATAAATATTTTATAATAGAAGATAAAATAATATTGCTTTAGCAAAAAACTTTGGTTTTAAAATCAAGCAATCTTTTCTTTATGACATTATATAATCTTTTATTAATATATTAATATAATGTATTTGGATGAATTTGTTGTTAATGTTTTTTTTTTTTCTACAAAACTTAAAGTGTTTGTTTTATGCCCAATCTTAAACTTTAGCGGTTTACTTAAACTGTTAGGGTAGAACAAATTTCTTCCTAAATGATTGTGACTGCTAATGTTTCCAGGCTGAATGAAATGTATAAAATATTGTAATTGAGTCATTTAAACTATTTTCAGTGGCCAAAAGGTACAAGAACTTTAGGCGGTTTGTGTACAACTATGAAGCTGAGACCTTTAACAGTGTAAATGGAGCCTCAAATGAGAAGAGTGGACCCAAAGTCTCCTGTACAGTAAGTTTTAAACCTACAATTATAACTTGGCAACAGGCAAACTCATTACTTTAACTGAATAATAGGGGTAACGACAAAATGTTTAATTTGCTGCACAGGTTGAGATTGATGTGCCTCAGACGTGTCGATTCATCCTCAAAACAACAGACTGTTCTTTGAGTGAGATTGTTGGTGTGGATGATGGGGGGAATCCACTGTACCGTCCTGCAGCTGGAGCCAAGGATTTCAAAGCTGCCATGGCCAAGTAAGTTCAATGAAGACTTTATTAATTTGGTTGTGTTCTTGGGTTCAACAAACTGGCACAATCAACAAGAAATAATAAAAAAGAAAAAAAAAGATAATGAACCAAATTCCAGGTTGAGAGTTAAAACCTCTACCTGTGTCCAGGAACACCTTGAAGGTTGCGGTGGAAGGACACGCTGATGTCAAGCTGTTCCCTGAAGATGATGAGCCGGTCAACATACTCAACATCAAGAGGGGAATCGTGTCTGCTCTCTTAGTGCCTGAAATGAATGAGGAAGAGACAAAAGAAATGGTAACTGGGCTTCTTCTTTTTTGCTTATTCATTATTTCTGTTTATGACCTCTAATTCATTTATGCCAAGTGGAGTTTGGTGAAGCTTGTGATGTGGAGTCACGCAATGATAAACAAGTTGCACAATGAATTGATAAGATGCCCCAGCCAGAGGTGATAAATCATGCCCCGTAATATCGTGTTCTCACAGTGATTATCTCTAAACACAGGTCAAAGTCCTTGATAAGTAATCGCCTTTTCGGCATCACCTGCTTCCCTAATCGTTCAGGTTCATTGATTATCTGATTTAGGGACAGAGGGGACATTTGGAAAGCAAACTCTGGAAAATTTATTTTTAGTCCTCACCAGGAGTCTCTTTGTTTCAGCCCACTGTGCATGGAGTCTGCTCCTCTGAGCTCACCGTCAACCATGGATTGGACACTGCTACCGAAGTGACCGTCAGTAGGGATCTGTCCAAATGCGATGGGTTTGTTGCTCACAGGCAGAATACCAGCCCACTGGCCCTCATCTCAGGCATGGTGAGAACTTGAAAAGTTTACTAGTCACTATCAATACGCTACCCTCTCCTCAACTCAACTAAATCCGTTGCCTAAGGAACTAAGTATTTTTTTTATCTATTTGTTGTCTTTTACTATCAGAACTACCCTCTGTCCAAACTGATCAGCAGCTCTCAGACCTGTAACTACAAGTTTGACAACCAGAAGAAGCACATGACCAGTGGCTCCTGCACAGAAAAGCACATCTTCCTGCCCTTCTCCCACAAGTAGGTTTCCATGTGTCATCCTATTTTTGCCTTGATAGAGTAAAACTTTGAATATACATTCCTTAGAAGATTCTTCATAAAAATGTATGCATTTTATGAAATTACTTAATCATCTTCAAATTTCCCATTCCACATAAAAAGCAAAGAATATGGAATCTCTGCTGTTGTGAGCCAAACTGTGACACTGAGAGAAACTTCCAAGATCAATGACAGAATCTTTGACCACAGTAAGTTTAATTTGAACATTTATGGAGCATTAATATATTGGATTAGAGTCTCAATCAATTCTGTGATATATCTACACAGATGAGGCTACTTTCAAGACCCTGCCCATGGATGTTGTTGATGACAAGTCCCCACTGCAAACCAAGGATGCCGTTATTGCCACAATGCAGAAGCTTAACACTCTATCAAAGACAAATGAGGGTGAGGAGCGTGCTGGCCTCTTCCGCAAGCTAGTGTCTGAGATGCGCAGCCTCAACTCTGACATCCTTACCTCAAATGTGAACGAGATGATGTCCATCTCCAGAGATCTTACCTGGCAAGCTCTAGTTCAGTGTGGCACTCCAGAATGCACCAGCAGCATGCTGAAGATACTCAGAAACTTTGACCATGCTTCATATGATGTTGATGCTTTCGTCTATGCCCTTGGAATGATGTCAAACCCTTCTCGCTTGATGGTGCAAGACTTGCTAGAAATGGCTAAGTACAAGCAGAGCAAACCCATCATGTATGCACTGAGCAATGCAGCCAGGAGGTACGTGGGAGTGCTTGGACGTTGTAATTACAGTTGCAATTCCTGCTGTAAATTAGTTGCTAATTTTTACCACTTATTTTTCTGTAGATTGTACAAATCTGAAGGAGTCACCCCAGAGATCACTGCTGTTTATGAGTACATGTCATCCCTCCTGGGTGCAGATTGTGCAGGCGAAAAAGAGCTGACATTCATGACCCTAAGGGTAGGCAGCCAACTGTGAGCACACACCTTTAAAGTAAAAATATTACCAATGATACTAATGTTTAAGTTTCCTATTCCATTAAGGTTGTTGGTAACATGGGTGATGTAATGGAGGCCGCTGACCCTGAAATTAAGAACACCTTGCTGAAGTGCATGAGACAGCCCTCGACCACATTGTCAGTACAACAGGCAGCTATCCAGGCCTTCAGGCGCATGTCTCTGACCGATGAGGTAACATTAGGATTTATTATTATTTTCCTGTTTTTCCACAGATTAAATATGGTTACTTTGAAAATCAACCACTTGCTTTTGTTTGGTGCAGGTCCGCTCCAACCTCCAGAGGGTCAGCCAGTATCACAAGGGTGCCGTGCAGAAACGTCTGGCTGCTTACCTGATCCTCATGAGGGATCCCCAGGACAGTGACATAGACATGGTGAAGAAGCTGCTAAATGAGGAGCAGAACATGCAGATCAAAGCTTTTGTGTCCACCCACATCTACAACATTATTAGCTCAAATGAAACAGAGGCAAAAAAGTTAGTTTTCTTTTTATCCTGAGCTTTATTTCACAGAAGTAACATGAAATGCTTTGTTAAATGCTATATTTACTTTTCCTTAGTCTTGGTGACAGAATACGCCGCGTTTTGATGGACACTGATATCTCCACGCATAACGACTACACCACAAAGTCACGCAACTACAAACTTGGGATTGCACATGAGAACATGGAGGCTAGTATTCAGGGTAATGTCATTTTTGATCCCAGCAACCAGCTGCCAAGGGAAGTCCTGTTGGAAACCACTCTAAAAGCTTTTGGCTACAACTTGGATATTTGGGAGGTATGTGATGTCTTGTGAACTGCGATGGATTTTTAAAAAACAGTCTACAACCATTCACTCTGGTGTATAAATCAAATGTCTTCTCTTTGTAGCTTGGTATGGACGGAAAAGGCTTTGAGCCAACCATCGAGGCTCTGTTTGGAAAGAACGGTTTCTTCCCTGATACCATTTCTAAGGCTCTGTACTGGGCTGGGGGCAAACTGCCACCGGAGGTTAAAACATTTTTAGATAAATATTTTGTCATTTCGACAGCAGGAAAGCAAAATGTATGTACTCACTTGTATTAAGTATTTACTGTTTTGTCCTTTTTGGCGGGTTGCATGTATGTGACCGTATTGATTTTGTTCTCTAAGGTACCTGAAAACCTTGTGGGAGAAATAATTGGCAATTTCAACAAGCTGTTGACCAATCTGCAGAGTCAAGAGTCCCCAGAGGCTATGGCCTACTTAAAGATCATGGGTGCTGAACTTGGTTACATCAAGGGCAATGATTTGAAGTTTATTGTTGAAAATGCAGTCACTAACGCAAGAGCTTTCATGCACCATGCTAAGGTACTGTTTTATACAAAAACTGTCAATATTTTCCACAATAGCTTTAGGTGTTTTTCTGACAAAGAGCACTAAAACTGTTTTGCCAATTCAGTTTCCCCTTAATAGATTCCCGAACTTTGACACAGAGATGTTTGCACACTACATCTTCATGGACAACAAATTCATCTTGCCAACGGGATCTGGTTTGCCCATGACATTTGCCCTATCAGGAACATTTGCTCCTGGTGCAAAAGGAGGCCTTCACTTCAACCCTAACATGGTACGTTTTTTGTTAATCCTTGATCTCAGAAATGGACTGGCCTGCTCGTTATTTTGTACCCACACACTGCCATTTCATCCCTTTTCTACTTTTAGTTTGTATCTGTTTGCTTAAACCATAGCAAAAGAAGTTCATTTATGAACTTTAGTTCATGAAATATCCATAAAGACACTCAAATCTTATAAAAAAGGACAGTTTCTTAAAACACTACTGTATTGTGTCCAGAATCTTTTTCTTTAACTCACTGGTTTGTCAAAACATCTAAAATTGGCACATGGTAAGAAATGAATTTTCTGCTGTAGATGACACCATTTGATTTGAAACATGGCAAAGATGTATAACAGCTCTACATACACATGACATACTATAATTATGATTAAGAACCTACATAGGCTATAGAATTTAATAAGGCTTGTTTCTATTAACAGAAGGAGCTAGTCTTCAGTCCCTCTGTTGGAGTTGAGTTCCTGACCCAGATGGGAGTCCACTTCCCTGAATATGTTGACTCTGCTATTGAGATGCACACCAACATGTTCCACGAGAGTTCCCTCAATGCCAAGATCACCATGGAGCAGAATGAGATCAAGCTCTCAATCCAAGCTCCAAAGGGCACCACAAAACTCTTTAGAATCAGGTGAGTTATAAAAGTGATCAACATTTTGTTAAATCAATCAACACAAGTTAGCGTAATGCGGGTTATGCATCAAAAGGGCTACATTCAGACTCATCATTTCAGGGGATTAAACCATTTCTGTTTCTTTGCCTATTTTACAGCAACAAAGTTGTGATTATGGGTGCTGAACAAGCCACAATAATCCCACACAGTGAGGGTGAATCACAGTGCAGCCCTCTCTTCTCTGGAATCAATTACTGCACCAAAATGCATCATGCTGATTCCCAGGACAGGAATGCTGCTCCATACTTCCCCCTGAATGGAGAGACAAGGTGAGACCTAGTTTGGAAATTTCCAAGTTTATTGTTTGCATTCATATAGCACTGTATGTTCTATACATTTATGATTGTTTCTGTTTTAGTTTTGCCATTGACATCAAACCTACTAACGAGATCTCGGAGTACACAGCTAGTATTGCCTATGAACTTCTTAGTGAAGGAAAGGATGGCCGCCAGAAGGTGGATTCCTTGAAGATGACCCTGAGAGCTGACGGTATGAGTATTGTGTTGGGTACTTCTTATGTGATTCTGCCAGTTAACATTAATTAATATAAAGAATATATTTTATTCTCTTACTTTAGGTGCTGAGCCCAAAGAGGCCACAGCTATCATGAAATACAACCGGAACAGGAACATCTTCACTACTCAAATCCTGATACCTGACATCGATGTTGAGACTGGAATTAAGATTGGCATGACAGAGAGCAGTTCAAAGGGCAAATCCCTCACCATCGAGCTGTCTAACAAGAATGTGCCACAGCTATCTCTGACTGGTCGTGCCAAGTGAGCAAACACAACCCCACATCCTTCCCAATATTATCGTTTGCTTCGACATGCACACTTTGCCTGATTTTCATTGTTATTCTTTGTAGACTTCAAGCCATGAATAATGGGATGCTTCAGGTTCAACTCGTGGTGCCATCCATGAAGATTGATGCCACCCTTGGTGCTACTGTAATGAAGACCGATGGGCTCACCTTGCAGATCAAGAGTGATGTCAAGCTCCCAGAGATTTCCTCTGTTCAGGCAGTAACCTTCAAATATGGTACAAAATCATCAGTTTTGTACAGAGAAATGTCATTTCAAAATATAAGAACAAGTTCGAATGCTAAACCATTTTGTTTCTCAGGTGAGAAGGAAACTGAGGCCTATTTGACATCCAATGTAAATGCTGATACAAAGATCCCAGTGCACTACGCTGAAGCCATCCAGTCATGGCTCACAAGGCTTTCCAAGGACCTCCTGGAAAAGAAGGTTGTGAAGACAGACATGAAACTCCGTCACATAGTCAACAAAGGAATTGAGGTGAACAGAATAAAATCCAAGCATAAAACAAATTGTTTAATTTCAAGCTTTTATCTTAAGTCTAAATGTTGGTATTTTTTTCAGGCCAGCAACATCTGGATTGACAAAATCTCTGAGGGTTGTCCTTATATGAAGAATCTGATGGACAACATTGTAGAACTTGAATTACCATCAATACCTGAAGTCTTATTTTTGAATTTGTAAGTAACTTGATATGAACATGTTCACAATTGCAGTACCATGAAAAAAGTACACAAAAGAGATAACCTGATCAAATACAAGATCAAATTTCCCAATCATTTTATTTATTTAAAGCAGGGAAGTTAGACTCCAGTCCTCTGAGTTCACTATAAAGTCCAATATGTTGTCCCAGCTCTATATAGGTATTCAGGGATTTAAGGTTTAGGGCATACGTTAGGACAAAGCCATTGACTTCAACTGAGGAGGTAATTCAGCCATTTGATTGAGGGGTAATGGGCCAGGGAGATAGCAAAAAGTTGCAGGATACCTGCTGCTAGAGGACTTAATTTTTACATTCCTGATTTAAAGGATATATCAGCATAAATCAATATGAAAATGTGAAACTTCATAATTCACGAATTAACTGCGACACCACATATATCTTTAGTTCAAAACAGATACCTGTCAGAGCTGTAATAAAGAGGCCATTTAAAAAGAACCCTTTTTGACAACATGAAATAGGTTCTGTATCCAATCTAAAGAAATTTAAAGAAAAGTACAATGTGGAGTTTTATAAATACCCTTTTGCATTTACCTGGGTTATTTTTTCAATTTTAAATTTTGATCTGAAATATTAAAAAAGAAGGTAAAAATCTGCATAATCATTGTCTTGAATAAATACGAGTAGCTAGTTCATTTATCTTGGGAGTTTAATATGTGTCCCTCTTTTTATGTTTTGCCAGTGAAAGCAAACTCAAATACCAGTTCAACCAGAACCATTTCATGATGACCGTCCCTCTGCCTCTTGGTGGAAAATCATCTGAGGAACTAAGGATTCCACCTGTTGTCACAGTCCCACACATCTCTGTTCCCCAGCTGGGACTAGAGGTTGCCTCACAGGACATCCAAATTCCACGTTTTACAATCCCGACTGAACAAGACATCTCTCTCCCTCTAATGGGACTGTTTGAAGCGTCTGCCAAGGTCAACAGCAACTATTATGACTGGGAGGGACTGATTACAGCTGGCAATAACACCGCTGAGTCTCCTGAATACGTGGCTAGGTTTAGTGTCATGGCTGAAAGTCCAATCAAACTGCTTTCCTTCTCAACTGAGGGTAAGTGAAATGTTTTTCTTAAATAAAGTATATGTATAAGGGATTTTACAGAAACAGCAAAAAGGCTGACTTCTAAAAAATTTTTTTGTCATTCCTGCTTTTTAGGGGCCACCAAAATCACAGACACAGACAAAGAAACCATTGAAGTCACAGTTGATGGATCCCTGAGGCATATGCTAATGAACACAGGTTTCAGCGTGCTGGAAAGCGTTTCTGTCAAAGACAATGTACTGACAACAGGTCGTTATAACATCTATGCTACTGCTGCTCCAGTGGGTCTAGACACATCTATGACCATTACCACCCAGTTCACTCTTGAGCCAGATGCTTTCTTTGGAGACGTTAACACAGATGGCAATATCAACATTGGGCCTATGGTTGCCACAACAACTTATCTCTACACCTTCTCTGTTAAGCCAGCCATGAAAGAAGCAAAAATGGACAGTAGCCTAATGGTGAAATCTGACCTGATGAAACTATCCCACAAGATAAAAGCCTTTTATGAGAATGATGAGCTTTTGTTTCAATCAACCAGCAGCTTAGAATCTGACCCAGTCAAGCACACCACAAAAATCAATCTTAACTACAAGGATGTCAAACTCACCATTCAGTCTGACTCTGTTACCAAGGCTTTTGAGAAGATGATTCTTAACCAGTTGGCATTTTCCATGTATGAAGGACAAGCTTCCCTCAGGATTGAGAACCAAGCTGATGACACACAAAACCGTGTATACTCCTTATTTACTGGAACAATGAACCCATCTGGTTTGGAAATCAATGCTGATGCCTCCATGAAGATCTTCTCTAGCCTTGCTTCTCACAAAGCAACCCTGTCCCTGAGCACAAATGGCTTGACCACTAGCTGCACAACAACTGCCCAGCATAGTCCATTCGTATTTGAGAACATTTTCCATGGTGGAATTGGTTCCTCTGGTGCCACCATGTCTCTTAAGACAAAGGGAGCCATTGAAGAAAACAAGGCTGAGCTTAACATTGAGGGGAAGGTTTCCAGCACAGAAGTGTATCTCAACAGCATGTATGAAGGTAGCTTGTTTGACATCAGTGGGCGGAACAGAGTGAACCTCAGGCTGAATGAAAATGGGCTGGTTTGCTCTAATAACATGGTGGGATCATTTAGGGAGATGAGGACTGAAAACACACATTCCCTGTCTCTTACTTTAAAATCGTTTACCCTTCAAACCAAAACTGACAACTTCCTTGATGAGAGAAACTCCTACATGCACGATATCACAGTCAACATGGAGCATTTTACAGCCTCAGCTATGGTGAAAAATGAACTAAAAGTCATGGCAGTCCATTTTGAGAATAATGCCCAATTCAAAGCAGAACCCTATGACATAGAGCTGGCTGGGGCACTGACTGGAAGCTTCTCAGAGGAAGAGCTCAAACACATCTATGAAATCAAGTTTGTTGACTTAGTCTTGTCTGCAAAGTGCAATACTAATGGAAAACTCTTGGGATCGCACATGACACATACCACTGACATGGAAGTTAATGGTCTGGCTATCAAGTTCAGCAATGTGGCCAACTTCAACTCACCATCTCTTCGTGTGGACAGTACAGTTAAAACTACCGCTGCTCCCCTCATGCTTGACGTTGATGCCATCTTCAACTCAAACGGTGAGATAAATATGTTTGGAAAGCATAGTGGTGAACTCTACAGCAAATACCTCCTAAAAGCAGAACCAGCAGAGTTTGCACAATCATTTGAGTACAGAGCTTCAAGCAGCCATGAGATGACAGACCGACCAACTGTGAAGACCAACATGAACAACAAGCTCAACAGCTTGCTAAACCTGGAAGAACAAATGGTCTCACTGGAGATGACATCCACTGTAAACGAACACACTTTTAAACAAGAACTGAGTGCCTATAACAATGCAGACAGAATTGGTGTTGAGATGAAGGGAGAAGTCTCAACTCCCTTCCTCAGCGAAGCCAAACAAGACTATGCCATCTCTGGATTTGTGAAGTATGACAAGAACAGTGACAGCCAGTTTATTCAGATCCCGTTCATCGAGAACCTTCCCACGGTCATTGAAAACATGAAAAGTACAATGATTAAACTGATAGGTCTCAGCACTGAGATGCTCAAAGACATCAACACAAGGTATGAAATCAGTGCTAAGATTCAGTCCAAAATTGAAGAAATAAGGGAAGCGCTTGACAGTTTTGACATTGCTCTTTTTGTCCAAGACCTGAAAAGGTTTATCGCACCTGTGGAGAAGTTCATCATGAAACTGACTGCCCAGTTCCCTTCTGACAAAGTCATTAATCTTTTGACATCTATCAAGGAAACTATTGTGGTTGAAATTAAGAATTATAACATTCCAACAAGGTTCAAGGCAATTTATAACAAAATAGAAGAGTTTCTGTCTAATTATGAGATTGAAAAAATAATTGGGACCATCATGGATGAGGTTGTAAAAGTTATGAGGCAGTATCAGATCAGAGAAAAGTTGCAACACACATTTGAGGCTATCCGATCAATTGACATCCAGCCTATTGTTAACAAAGCTATGGTCCCAGCAAAGGAGCTTTTGAATGAGCTTTACTCCATTGACTTCAAACAGCTTATTGATGACATGAGTGCCTTCTTCACAAGAGAGATCCAGAAAATTAAGTCATATGATTATGGTGCACTTGCTAGGGAAATGAAAGACAAAGTGGCAGAGATGAGCAAGATTCCTTGCTTTGGCAAACTCTATGGTGGGTTTGAAGTTAACTCCCCTCATTACAGCCTCATGACCACAGCTGAGCTGGAGAACACAACAACCACAGCAGCCAGACCTGAATTTAAATTAAGCCTGAACTCACGGGCCGATTCTACTCTTAATGTGCTTGACTTTACTGTGGATGCCTCTGCACATTTTGCTGCCCCCAAAATGAGCCGTCTGACCATGTCTGAATCCATCAATGTCAAACAGTCTTCCTTCACACTTGAACATAAGGGAATGATGGATCTGTATGGCCTATCAACTCAAGCCTCTGCTGAAACCATTGCAAAAGCAACATATGAGCTCTATGATGCAGAGCTTGTCAACAATGCATTCTTTGCTCTGGAAAATGGAGTCTCTGCCAAAATGGAAACTGCCTACAAACACGACCTCAAGTTCCCACCCCTAAACATCCAGAGTGAAATGATGATTGATCAGAAGACTATATTTGGGATTGAAGATGCCAGCATCAAGCTCACTATTAATAACGTGGCCAATGAAAAATACAGTATTTGGGATTTCTCAGATGAAGCAACCCACAAGAGTGACCTCAACCTAGAAATGGATCTCCAGAACATCAAAGTGACCTTCACTGGTGACACAAGCAGCTACCTTTTAAAGGCTAAGGAAAGTTTTGTTGCGGAAATTAATATTTTCCGTCATGTCCTGATTGATGCCAAGTTTGAGACTGATACACCTTTCATGAAGGGCAGTGTGGCAGAGCTAAAGCTTCAGGCCAAGGCTGAAGACATGAGAATTTATCTCTCAGCATCTCATGATGCAGAACTGGTCGGGAACATTGAGGGAACACTTTCAAGCTCTCTCCTAACATTGGTCTCAGCAACAGAGCTTACATTTGATAGTAAGAACAAAGGAAAGGGCAAGGTTGTTCTTCCATTCAAGCTGTCTGGAAAATTTGACCTCCAGAATGACATTGTTTTTACTCTGAACTCAGAAATGCACCAAGCACGCTGGGTAAGTCTGGGACGGTTCAATCAGTATAAATACTCCCATCTGTTTGCCCTGGAGAATGGAGAAAATGAGATTAACATCCAATCACAAATCAATGCCGAAGCAGATCTGGATGTGTTGAAGGAACCAATCTCAATTCCTGAGATAACTCTACCATACTTTGGCATGAAGACACAACGAGTGGAGGGCTTTTCTCTGTGGGAAAACACTGGCCTGAGCAACATCCTAACGACAACTCAGCAGACTCTGGACATCAACTCCAAATTGACTTATATTAAGAACCCTGACATGATCACAATTGACATTAATCTGGATCCACTCATTCGTGCCATTAATACAAACATGAGGGCACTACACAAGAAAATGCTCATTAGCAAGGATAAAGCTGCGACCATTCTTGCTTCATCTTACAACAAAGCAATGTCAGAGTATGAAAAATACAGCATTGAGTTGCCTAAAACCATTGTAGTACCTGCCTACAAAGTTCCAGTAATGAATGTTGAGATGTCCTCCTTCACAATCCCCTTACCTGATGTCACACTAGTCACAATGCCCTCACTGCACATCCCATCTGCACTCAGCAAACTGACTGTTCCAAAAATCACCATACCTAAGGTTCAGAGCATTAAGATCCCATTGATGGGTGACCTGACTTATAAGTTCTCCATGGAAACAGCAATGATCACACTTAAAACTGATGCCAGCATCCTCAACCAGGATGGCCTGAAGGTCAGATTTGATGCCTCGTCAACCTCTGGGTGTGAAATGCTGACGGGGAAAATTGAGGGTAACACCAATGTTAACACAGTGGGTGAATTTCAAATGGCCTCCCTCCTTTCTGTAAAACATGTAATGCTTGAAGGAAATCATGAGAGCACCATCACCTTGAGTTATGAAAATATAGATACCGATGTGAGCAACTCAATTAAGGTCCTTTTGCCTTCACTCACTATGGAAATCAACCAGGACATTAAAGGAAATCCAGTAGATGGTCTTGTTGTCTCCATGTCCACGCCCTCTGCAGGCCATCTTGGTGTACAGCTGCAGACCAAGCGGCCTGCACAAGTTAAAGCTCGACTCTATGGTCGCTACCCGGTAAGAGAATACAAATCCATCTGCTGGTTCTTTTAATCTAAGATGTGTGTTTACTTTTTATTTTCTAATTTCTAATTTTTCTTTATTCACTTTTGTCTCCTCAAAAGACTGAACCATCAACAGACATCAACATCCTGGGTCTCAAGATGTCAGTCGTGAACTCTGAGAAGCTGAGCCTTCAGACGACCTGGAACATGGAGATGCCATATGAGATGATGCTGGGACTGAAGAAACAGGTTCCCGGTGCCATAGAAATGGTTTCTGATACTGCCGTCAAGGTGTACAACAAGATCAGCAGACATATTAGGAGTTTCAAGGGCTCATTTGAAAGGTTCAGAAAGCAGGGTAAAGTAATGTTCAAGAAGGCTGTGGAAAACCTAGCGGCAGTTAGCTCTTCTGATTTTATGACAGCTACCACAGATAAGATCATTAAGATTCTGAAACAGTCCCAGAGGAAGGTTGAGCTTATTCTTGATGCTGTGATTAAATTTTTGAGGCAGACCAAGTTCCAGATTCCTGGCTATGAACAAAGGCTCTCTGGACTTGAGATCTACCAGAAATTCAACACTTTTGTTGCTGATGTTTCTGAGGAGGCGATTGAAAAGCTTCCTCAGTACATTGCCACCAGCTTTTCCTCAGTTTTTGATCATGTCCAAGCCATAGAATTTACCATCCCTGGATCTAACCGCATCATCACAGGGAAAGAGCTCTCAGATGACCTACTGCTGGCTTTGGGTAGAATTCAAGAGCAGCTGATTGTTAACCTGAGGAAACTAGGAGAAATCAAAGTGGAGGATATCATTGACAAATTTTCAGAATTCCTCCAATTTATTGTTGAACAAAGTGAACGGTTTATCCAAACTCTAAAAACCCAGAATGTTGAGAACATCTCCAATGCTGTGGTGGATGCGTACCATAATGCCATGAAATCCCGTTTCCTGGCCACTGTTGCCAAGCAGGTTGATGAAGTGTACATAATCATAAAAGAATATCTCAAATCTGTGATTGATAAAATCCACAGCATTGTGGCTGACATCTCAACTGAACAGCTTAGAGAAGACATTCAGTCCTGGATTGACTCATTTGTGAAACGTATCAACACTTTACACAACAGTGTAATTAGGAACCTGAAAGAAAAAAGCAAGAATATTGAACCATACGTGAAAGTAAGTGATAGACAGGTAGAGGTTGACATTCCTTTACCATTTGTTGCTAGATTCAACTAACTCACCAAGAGAGCCAAACTGATAGATAAGTATTTGAATTAGCTACCTTTCTGCCATAAGCAAGCAACACAATAATTTATTGTCAGAAGCAAACTAAACTCTTCATATGGATTTCTGTTCTCACAATGCTTAACTTTGTGCTGTTTTTTTCCCTCATAATTTTGTTTTTTCATTGTAGACCCACAGTTGTTCTGATTCTCCTTTGTTTCTTGTCCTATTTAAACCTAAGTGGTCATCAATAAACTGTTTGTACTGCATATATCTCTGAGCCTTTTCTACACCACAGGGAACAATAATGTTTCAGTTTTAGTTAATTTACATATCTCCAAGTCATTTCCAGTTAGGTATAGACCTTAAGACAAGTAGTATGATTTAATCTAACTATTAAACAATATTTCTATTTGCCCTTAGTTATTGGCTTTGTTGCCATACTGGTTTTAGTCTAGTTTTACTCAGTTTTATGTTGTGAAAAAAGGTACCCTTTACAATTTCTGATAACAGCCAGTTTCTTTACGAAATTGACAGCTTTGCCTAGATACTACAACTGCTGGGTACAGAATGCCTGCAGCTCATCGTAGCGTTTGGGCAGAAAACTTTGATTTATGGAATTCAAATGAACTTTTTTTTATGAATTAATGCCCTATTTTATAAAAAAGTGTCTAACAAAAGCTGTGAAAATAGTAGATCTAGTTCAACACATCATTGGTTAATATGTGAATGAATGATGCATTGCACACAGATCAATAAAATCTTCATTACTCCAAAAAATTAAAGAAGAAAAACATTTAGGCTTTATTTCGGGGAATTTACCCCTTGGTTACTGCTGCTCAGGGGTCAAAGTAGATTTATTCAAAGGGTTTTGATAAAAAAAAAATAAAAAAATACAGAGAGAACCTTGTAATACCATGGCAATCCAGTCCTAAATTAAATGAATATGTGAACTAAAAGGTTGAAATATTTCAAGGAAATATAGAAAATGGTTTGATGACAATACAAGGAAACATTTACATCATATATAAAAAACGACAACAATGAGAGAGAAATATTCAAAGATCTATGTACTTTTTCACCTGGCTGTTTATTCAAAAGTAAATAGTACGCAATGAAATATTTTCTTTGGATATAATTTAGGGATTCCTTTTGCTCAAAATTAAAGATTGTTTAGTATAACACCTTGTGAGCTGGAAAAAATAAAATCTTGATAGTTAGAGAAAGGGATTTTTCAAGATTGGCAGAGGATGAACAGCCCCATATAGTATAGCACATTTCTGCATAAGCATAGCTGGAAGAACAGAGTTTGTCAGTGTTGGGTGCGCAGTACCAAACAATTCGGGCTTATTGCCCCCCTTCCGCTGCTGCCACCATCTGTGTTCATGCAAAATGTGTGCCGCTGCACACCAAATGGGCGGTGTGACCAAACAAGACGATGCTGCACGGCTGATACTGCTTAGCTTGTCTAACAGATTACAGCACAATGATGCATTTTAAGCTGGGCATACACTGTGCAATTTTTTGCTCTTTTCGGGTCGACTTTCCAGCCGTGCGAGAATAATTTGATCGGTCCAACTATCAGCCTGGTCTTACATTGTGTAGTGTACAGAGGGAAACAAGGGACTATCATGTGAAAGTTCTTTCTGTAAAATTAACAGACCATAGTTACCACATTTGCTCAGCCATGTCTT